AATCATAGCCTACTTACCCTGTCCGCCACTAGAATGACCCTCGTTAGGTCGGCTCATAATTTTGGTTCAAGAATGATGTGGAAGGTATTTTGATTGGCTATACCCCATTCCAAGTTTTAGTCGGAACATGCTCTTTCGGGGTTTCGCTTTTGCACATTTGAAAAGTGCAAATCGAAGTTATATCTGCTATTCTCGGGACCAAATTGCTCAATTCACTGGTCATCATGAACAACTTTTGATATTACAAATGTCACACAGCAAGGACATGCGCCGGAGTTCTTCCGTACAGCGATGTACGTATGGTGCCACATCGTAAAAACCTCGCCATCTTCTTGTTCCATCGCGTAGTACATGCAGGTAGCATGTACTACGCGATGGAATAACAGCCAAGGTGTTTTGGTCACTTCAGCATCACATGTGATTATTATTGTTCAGAGTTATTTGGCATTTATAAAACCCCAGTGAATTAGCTAAAACACCAGGTATTCATTCAACCTTGTAACACAGTTACAGCAGAAGTACCACTCTTTTAGCCACGTAAAACCGACGCCAAAACAAGTGCAAAGCACAATACACGCTAATTTGAAATAGTACTCTTTTACGAATGGATATTTTGGGTGTTGTGAATATTCGTCCGGTTAACCTTACTTTATACTTGGTTTGCGGATGGAAAAATTCATTAACGGCAATTATCTATTTGACATATACTTGAATGAACTATGGTTCTGAAATGTTTGCAAGATACTAGCCTTTTACGAATATTTGCGAATCATTAATTATCCGGATTATTGAAACGGTTGTTTGTGTGGTCGTTGGTCTGCGCCAACATGCAACTTACTTCGATAAGAAACGAGTTCAAAATCTCACTCGGACTTATTCCGTTGGCACAACGAGGGGGTCGTTGGATTTGGCGCGCCTCATAGACATCAATGGTGTAATGTTAGCATATCGAATAGGGTGCACCTTATACACAATAGGTACAATATACTGTGTTTAAAATACACAATTCTACAGCTTTACGTAATGCATTATGTAAGTACTTATTGTAAAATTCCACAGCACATCAGATGGAGTAACTGTTAGTTACTCCATGCGTATCGTTTTCACCACACACAGAGTAACTGATGCCAAATATAGCAGAAAAGTACCCTTTTACGAACGGTTTGAGCAGTTTCACGAACTCTTTTGTCCGGATATACATAGAAATCACGAGCTGAAAGAGTTCGTGAATGTTCGTGATTGGTCAGTATCAAAGAAGTATCACGGATATAACCTTGTTCTTTGTATACTTGACAAGTATTAAAATAATATCTCCCTTTTACGAACTCTATTATCCGGATGAATAAATCATCCATTCTCGACTTGAACGATGGGCAGGACGAAGCGCAAGCATAATGAGGATGCGTCCGAAGCAGTGGCAGGAGTTCGTGTTGTCGCCTTACGCCTCGTTCACGACACAAGGGCCTAGTACACGTCTATACTAGAACGCTTCAAGCGATGGCTTCTCTGCGAGCACCGGGAGTTCGTAGTCGACTCCGTCATTCAATTGCCTCTGTCGACCACTCTCTGCCATACATACTTGGACTACGCATCAATCAAGCGCGATGCTACAGGATCGGAGCTAGTGCCCAAACGATTCAACTCGTTTTCGACCATTGGGACGTGTAAAAGTGCATTAAAGTACCTTTACAAGGAGGCCAACCTCAAGATGCACGATGACCTGGACGCTAGGCTCAAAGGTATGATGCGAGTGTTTAACCTTGTACTTGTGCAATGCATATTTATATTTATGGAGATTTTGCAAATGGATACAAGCGCCGCATTGCCCAGCTCAAGGAAGACGGTGAAATGCCAATAGGAGAGGGGAAACTACCCATGACAATTGATGGTAGTAATGACATTGTTTGTGTTATACTTAATTAGTTTGATTAGGTTATTCATACTTGGCTCGAGCAGCGTTGGCTGGTCAGACTACGCGCTTGCAATCAACGCGCACACTTTCCTCGTGTTTTGATGGCGCGCGGTGTCCACTGCGTCAATTCGTTTCGACAACGTCACATGGCAAGGTAGACAGTAATGCTTACTGATCGACTGTGTACTGATGTTTGGTTAGGCGATGCCCTTGTGGTAAAATTTTGTCGAACGAAAAGTGACCAAGAAGGTGCTGGGCTGTTTCCAAAGCACGTTTATGCCAATCCGACATGCCCATGGATTTGTCCAATATTGAGGTTGATAGAATTTCGAATTTTGAACTTATAACGAATGTATTTTTGTATTAGCCTGGCAATTATTGTATTCACGCGAGGGCTTCCAAGCAAGGAGAGTTCAACGTTGCTCTTTGGCGTGAACGCCAAGGCCCGGTTTTCGAAGTGGTTGCTCAAAGTGTGTGCTTCAAACGAAGCGGAGATCGTTGCCATGGACATGTCATTTTCTGATATTGGCACACACTCATTCCGAAAAGGCGTAGCAACATCGCTGTCGAACACGCCGGGGGGGCCACAGGCTGTATCCATTTGGCTGCACGCTGGATGGAGTCTTGGCAGCGTTCAAGGGCGCTACGTCTTTGAGGGGTCAGGGGGTGATCAATTCGTCGGCCGTGCGGCTACAGGTTCAAATATTGTATTAAAATTAAGTATAATTATTCATCATTTAAGTTAATAGGTCTCCAATTAAGTTCGAGTGCTTTTGGCGCGCTACCTCCTCATATCGCAGCACTTGCGTTGGAGGAGTGGGAGAAGTACTTGCCAGACTACGCAACTGAGTACCCAGCCTGTTTTCGCTGCGTGTTACCTTATCTGTTGGCTTCGTTGGCATTACCCCACGAGTGGTTGAAAGTGACGTTTAGTCCGGGGCATCCTCTGTTTATGTCGACGGTGTGGCGTTCGGGTAAATTGAACCCCTTGTGGCCATGAAATTCAGCAGTCAGCGCCAGTTAAGTTCGGCCCTGGTCATGTTATCCATGATGAACGACTCGTTCGCAAATCTACGGTCTCAGCTATTGGCGGATATCAAATCCATCCCATCCCCACCGTCCCCTGATCCAGCCACTGTGGGTACAGCCTGTAATCTCGCTCACGTGTGATCACAGAAACGTGGGAGACTTCAGTCCGTGCCGTTCGTCATCACCGGAGCAGAATGCCATGGGACCGCAGGGGTAGGTGAGTGTGGGGTGCAGCGATCGGCCACGTCGATCCATCGTCGGCCGAGTGCAGGTTGAATTCTGACTCCACATTGGACAAAACTCATGAAATTTTATCGATTATATTGTATCTATTGGCTAAAAGGTGGACAACTGTTATCAAAACTTCGTTAGGCGGACCATTCCCTCTTTCATTGTAGTACTACTTTGATCCGAAACGTTTGTCAGGTTCGACTTTTCATTGGCGGAATTATTCGAATACAAGGCCGTTTCCAACTCTGATTGGTGCATCTGAAAGCGCAGGATCTCAGCTTTGATTGGACCATTTATGCGTAAAGTAGAACGCTTTTGCTGTTGAGATAAGCACCATCAAAGTTGGTGGGACCCTCATAAAATACTAACGGCCATCCGCTGGGACTACATACCACTATTTGCGAGCCCACACTCACATCCTCACATCCTACATACACACCCCACCCATTCATGTCCAACCAGACCCTCGGCGCTAGTCCAGCTGCCTCCGTCGATGTTGCCCAGCCCCCAAACGGTCACAAGCACTTGTCCCCTACGGAGCGTCAGGCTGTCTACGAAATGCTTCTAGGAGCTGCCATAGGAGCGGTACTCCCTCGAGGGGTCATTGTCAAAGCAGCGAAGCAGTTTGGCTGCCACGAACGCACCGTATCACGCATCTGGGTTCGAGCGCAGCTCTCCCTGCGGCATGGTAGCATCTCAGCTGATGTCCGCACGAAATTGCGTGGTAAACCTGCAAAAAGCTATAAATACATTAATTTTACCAATTATCCATTTATAAAGTTTAATATCTTAAGGAAATATTGGACGACGGCAAAAGCGAACCAATGAAGAAATAGAAAGCGCAATTCGAGCAGTCCCGTTGATGTCGCGGCAGACTCTTCGTTCGCTTTCGGCTGCGTGTGGGATCCCAATGACATCCATTATTCGCCACAAGAAGAAGACCCCAAGATTCAAGGCCAAGTCCAACTACGTCAAACCATTCCTCACGTCAGCGAACATCGAAGCTCGTCTGAGGTACGCAATGCCCTTCGTTCGACCTTTGTCAAATGGTCGCCACTCTTTCTCCAACATGCTCGATTTCGTGCATGTTGATGAAAAGTGGTTCTATTTGACGAAGGTCAAACGTCGGTACTATGTGTACGATGACGAAGAGGTGGCTGCGCGCTCCGTCAAGCCCAAGCACTACATAACCAAGGTTATGTTTCTTGGCCCCGTGGCCCGTCCCCGCTACGGCCATCACTGCAAGAAGTTTTGGGACGGCAAGGTTGGTGTGTGGCCCTTCGTTCAAGTGTCGCCGGCGTTGCGTGGAAGCAAGAACCGCCGCAAGGGCACCCTTGTCACTGTTCCTCAAGCCCTGTATTTTGACGCCGTGCTGAACAAGGTCATCCCTGCCATTATGGCCAAGTTTCCTGGCGGTGTGCGGCGCGGTAACGTGTTCCTCCAACAAGACAATGCCAGCCCGCACCGTTGCGTTACGACAGAGCTGCTTCAAGCCAAAGGTGTGCGTGGGATTGTTGTAGCAAATCAGCCTCCCAACAGTCCAGACTTTAATGTCTTAGATTTAGGTTTTTTTAATTTATTCAAAGTCTTCAGCACCAAAAGGCAACTCGTTCAATCGAGGAGCTTATTGGGGCTGTAGAAAGTGCGTTTTATGAGTTGCCGGCAGATACAGTTGCAAAGACATTCATAACACTTCAAAAGGTTTTGGAAATGTCCATTGAAATGCTTGGAAGCAATGATTACAAACTTCCTCATATGAGAAAGGATGTTTCAATTGCTGACTTTGCATCGTACAATGTTGAGTTCGATGCATCTTGCTACGAGAGTGCGTTAACTCATTTGCATGAGCGAGGGTCTGGGCGAGGAGTCCACCATGGAAGCGTTGGTGAATTCTCTTGATTGAGTAGTCGGCATGAACTAAAAAAATACATTAAATTTTGTGCCTTGAATATGTTGTCTTGGAGTTGCATATAAAAATCAAGTTGTTCGAAAGCCATGGCACATACTTTAATCAAATGAAAAACTACCTGACAAACGTTTCAGATCAGAGTAGTATCCATTAACAGTAAATTCAATTTTCGTCGTTCCAAGCAACTTTCCAAAACGAACGGAGCCAATCAGAATGGTTCCCGTCGTACTTCGAAATCCGTTTTTTGAAGTACGATAAGTACTGTAGCCATGCATTTATCGTGTTTTGGTTAAATGCGCATTCCAAGCAGTGATGTTGAAATTGCTGGACACTACTCATTTCATCCGCCATGAATACTGAGTACATGGTAACTTGGTGGCTGCTACGATTGCAGCAGCCGAAGCGGCAACTTCAACACTCGACCCAAGTCTCGGTCCAACCAATTTGCCGGCATTCTTCCAGATAAGCCCCCGGTCACTAATTATATTAATTTTATTCAATTCCAAAAATTCATCGGGATAAAACATCCCCGCCTCGACCGACAAACCACCTTTGACCACACACAATAGAATGATAAGCAATCAAATCAAGTTATTATTAGATTAGTTACCAAGTACTGTTTACGAATGGCAATGGGTGACTGCCAAATATCTCGCAAGTGCCTCTCGCAATCAAATTTGCGAGTCCGGATAACGTGTATTTTTTTAACCGACGTCGATGGGTGGCAATCGAGGCACTCCACGACTTGGCTCGACCTGCCTTCGTTACCCGGTGAGATTGCGAGAAAATTTGTGCACGATGCCAAAGCCTTTGAAAATGTATTTCGATCATATC